CGCCAAAATAAATAATCGATCCAAATCATCATTTCTAGGATAAGCTAACTCTGGTGTTACCGTGACAGAACCCTAACGGGTGATGTATTTCTATTTTCTTCTTACTGAAAAGAATCCAATTTGAGTTTTGATATAGATGCACATTGTTAAGGTTAGATGGGCATATGATAATCCATCATATCGATCGCCAACCTTTAACTGAATTTAAATCTTTGTGATATCAGGAAAATTGTATCATCATTCAAACAAATCAATACCATACTGTATTGTGATTTACAGCCCTAGTATCAGACCAGTAAGTCTGTCTAGCTAGTAGCTATAAATCTTTTACTAAATATCTGCAACATTTTATACTAAACATTGCAGACATTATCTCTTATATTCCTGAAGGTATAAATGAAATAACATATTTATTCTTGATTTTACACGTTCATTAGCATACATAACAGCTGAATGACAATTTGTTATAGCTAGCTTTGTTTCTCATCAGATTGATGCTGAAGCATGAGTTTATATTAGCATACAGGTGCTGGTCATAAAATTAGAATATCATAAAAAAGTAGATTGATTTCAGTAATTCCGTTTAAAAAGTGAAACTTGTATATTATATTCATACATTACATACAAACTCATATATTTCAGATGTTTATTTTGTTTAATTTTGATGATTACAAATGACAACAAATGAAAATCTCAAATTCATCATATCAGAAAATTAGAATATTACTGAACACCAATAAAAACAAAGGATTTATAGAAATGTTGGCCAACTGAAAAGTATGAACATGAAAAGTATGAGCATGTACAGCACTCAGTATTTAGTTGGGCCTCCTTTGGCCTGTATTACTGCAGCAATGCGGCGTGGCATGGAGTCGATCAGTCTGTGGCACTGCTCAGGTGTTATGATAGCCCAGGTTGCTCTAATAGTGGCTTTTAGCTCTTCTGAATTGTTGGGTCTGGTGTATTGCATCTTCTTCTTCACAATACCCCATAGATTTTCTATGGGGTTAAGGTCAGGAGAGTTTGCTGGCCAATTAAGAACAGGGATACCATGGTCCTTCAACCAGGTACTGGTAGGTTTGGCACTGTGTGCAGGTGCCAAGTCCTGTTGGAAAATGAAATCTGCATCTCCAAAAAGTTGGTCAGCTGCAGGAAGCATGAAGTGCTCTAAAACTTCCTGGTATGTGGCTGCGTTGACCCTGGACCTCAGAAAACACAATGGACCAACACCAGCAGATGACATGGCACCCCAAACCATCACTGACTGTGGAAACTTTACACTGGACTTCAAGCAACGTGGATGAAGTGCCTCTCTTCTTTTCCTCCAGACTCTGGGACCTTGATTTCCAAAGGAAATGCAAAATTTACTTTCATCAGAGAACATGACTTTGGACCACTCACCAGCAGTCCAGTCCTGTTTCTCTTTAGCCCAGGCAAGACGCTTCTGACGCTGTCTGTGGTTCAAGAGTGGCTTGACACAAGGAATGCGACAGCAGAAACCCATGTCTTTCATACGTCTGTGTGTGGTGGTTCTTGAAGCACTCACTCCAGCTGCAGTCCACTCTTTGTGAATCTCCCCCACATTTTTGAATGGGTTTTGTTTCACAATCCTCTCCAGGGTGCGGTTATCTCTCTTGCTTGTACACTTTTTTCGACCACATCTTTTCCTTCCCTTCGCCTCTCTATTAATGTGCTTGGACACTGAGCTCTGTGAACAGCCAGCCTCTTTAGCGATGACCTTTTGTGTCTTGCCCTCCTTGTGCAAGGTGTCGATGGTCGTCTTTTGGACAACTGTCAAGTCAGCAGTCTTCCCCATGATTGTGTAGCCTATAGAACTAGACTGAAAGACCATTTAAAGGCTTTTGCAGGTGGTTTGAGTTAATTAGCTGATTAGAGTGTGGCACCAGGGGCCATCAATTTTGAACCTTTTCACAATATTCTAATTTTCTGATATGATGAATTTGAGATTTTCATTTGTTGTCATTTGTAATCATCAAAATTAAACAAAATAAACATCTGAAATATATGAGTTTGTATGTAATGTATGAATATAATATACAAGTTTCACTTTTTAAATGGAATTACTGAAATCAATCTACTTTTTCATGATATTCTAATTTTATGACCAGCACCTGTATATATACATCATATTTTTTATTTATCAATGGTTTATTAATGGAACTGCTGCTAACACAAATAATTTGACTCCTGTCTTGGGGACGATTTTTGCCGCGCTGGCGACGTTGTTGCAGACTTCAGATGAAATTGTTGGATAGCTTGACCCTAACGGGGGTTATTTGTTATTGCCAAAATATTCTCTCTCTCTTGCACTTTTGTGTTTAAAAGATATTCTGTTAGGGATAATGCAGAGAAGGAAGACTTCAGGATATTTTAATAGGCTTTAATTTCTCTTTGAGTTTTTTATGTGAGGTTTCCTTTCTTCTGTCCTTCACTCATGTAGTTCTGGGTTATCTCTATCTCTCACATGATCCTTACCACCTCACTCTCTGCAATGCAGTTTCACCCCGATCAATCCACTTGGAGACTTGCCTTAGAGAGGAAATGAGAGAAAAGATCTATGGGTTATAAGACAAAGGAGGAGTGAGAGTCAGAGAGGTTATATAGTGTCATGCAAAAGCACTCATTTACTTTTTTATTCTTTATAAATGTAGTGCCTCCTGTATTTCCAATTTTCTTAATAGCATGCAGCTGTTAAATGACAAGTCAGAGGTTTTTTAAGAACATTAAGAGAGAGAAGACTTCAGGAAGACCAAGGAACACAGCAGACAGGTTCAGGGACAAGTTCAAAGCAGGGTTAGGTTACTAAACAATGTCCCAGGTGGGTTCAATTCATTACCTAAAAATGGAAAAAGGAAGGGACAGATTTTAACCTGTCAAGATTTGGTCCTCCAGCTAAACCTTCAGGAGCAAAGAGCATCAAGAAAAGCCGTTATGATAACTCTGGAGGACCACACTAAGGTGGGAGCTTCTGTTCCAAGGAATTAGGAAACAACTAATTCTGTACTTTACAAAGTAAGACTATCATCACAATATAACAAAATACAATTTTCAAATCATAGAGGCACTGAGAGTAAGACACAAAATTTCTCATTTTAGCCCTTTAGGTGGAGTTAATAAGCCTAAATTATGTTCACCACTACACAGCTACCATGCAGATCCATGCATGTAAGCAAAAGCAAACACTTTTCCAGCAATGGTAACATGAAACCCTGGAAGGAAATATTTACATGATTGTTGTTAGCAGAGGAAAATCTAAATTCTCAATTGCAATTTTTGTTCAAAAATAAAAGACCATTTATTTTTTTGGCAAAGCCATTTCACAAAATGAAGATTACCCAGAGAAACTGTTAATGAAAACCATAAAACAGAACATTAAATTATTAGTTATCTTGGCAATTTTTCACAACCCATCTAGGGATCAAAACAAATATGTAGGAGAACATGCCATCCTTATGTTAGGCTAAACATTTTGGTTTACATGCTGACACTGCACTTTATCTAAACACACCGACCCTATGGTAAAACATGGTCGCCGGCATCATGCTGTGGGGCTTTGCTTAAAGGAATCCGGACAGATTTTATGGAAACAGATGAAGCTACATGCAGTGTAGTCCTCAACTGTTTGAGGCTGCAAAGCTCTTGTAACAAAAGCAGAGGTTTATTTTCCAGCAGGACCGCAACCTGAAACATAGAGTTGAAGTGTTTAGATCAAATCCCAGCACCAAGTTTCAGACTATAATCTGTTTCATTATTGAAGCACTAATTAGTGTTTGTCTGTCTCATAAAACCAAACAATACAAAAACGTTTGTGACTCGATAACATGTTTTAACTTTACATCGGAGAGAGAATAGATGAAAAAATACTTTACTTTAGTGGCTCCTGTTATTAGGTGATCCTGGGGGCTCATTCTGGTTGAGAGATCCCATTGATTCTGCCTCACAGCTTCTGTGCCCTTGACAATCAGGAGATACAGGATGAAAAAAAAAAAAAACGTGTTCTGTTTTCAAGCCAATATCCCAACGTGACTCAACTTAGCTGAAAGTAAATGTGTGTCTAGGAGAAGGATTGAGTGGTAATGATTGAGGGAATGAGGGCTCATGTGGTAGATGGATGGAGATAGATGACAGAACTGGCAGACTCTACGTAGAGGAGAGAAGGACACTGGTGTCATCCCATCTGTTTTTCTTTTCCTATGCGTCATCTCCATTTATTTTGTCTGATATTATTCCCCACAGAGGTAACAAACACGCCTCAGTCTGTGTCTGGTATAAAATCAAATATATTCACTGTTGGTCTATGTGACACACATGAGCCCCCCCCCCTTTCCTTCCTCCATTCATGCACACTTACAAACCGCATCAGCACCGACTTGCTGCTGATGTTGGAGTCGAGTCAGTTGGCTGAGGAACTTTCTGGAAGCATCGTTCTCATCTAAATTATTCACATATTCTCCTCTGGCTGCATTACAATGCAGGGATGGTGCATGTGGATTGAGCAGGAAGGAGGGAAGCGTGTTACAGCAGCCAGTTATGACTGTGTATCTGTGTGTGCGTGTGATTGAGGGCACTGTAATGTGATGTCTTCACTATGTGCACTTAGAGAGCGCAGTAAACACTGTCTATGTGTCTAATGTGCAGCACTTATCCTCCGATGGGTATGGAGCATTAATGTGTTCCTTCGGCTGAGGCTTCAGCCTGCACATTTGGTTGGAAATCTGACACTGTTTACCAAACAGGAAGGTTATTAATACTTTACCAACCAGAGGCCTTAGGCACATCTTTGTTCCTTCCTCGACTTAAAAAAAAAAAAAAAAAAAGAAATATTTTTCACATGATCAAATATTAACAGTGAGGCATATTGCATTATTTATTACCATTTTGAATGTCGGTGTGTAGGCATGTTTGCTAGAAAAGCTTGCACTATTGCTTAAAGAAACATACAGTTTTGCAGCATCTTAAAAGTTTGTTTGCTCTTACAGCAAAAGCCCACCCAGCAATCCCTGGCCTCCTCCCTGTGCAGAGAGTCCCACTGGAAGTGCCTCCTCCTGACCCTCCTCATGTATGGTTGCTTCGCCACGCTGGCCTGGTGCGCTATCTGTCGGGTGCCCGTCCTCGGCTCCGCCCCCTCCATACCTCTCGGTGCCGATGATGACGCCACATCTGCAGCCTACTACAATGATATGGTTCACTGGGAGAGTCCATGCTCGAGCGGATATGTCTACATCCCCCTGGCCTTTCTGGCAATGCTTTATGTGGTTTATCTGGTGGAGTGCTGGCACTGCTTCTCTAAGACGGCCATGTTGGCTCATGCTGAATTCCAGGTATTTTTCATATTCTGCTGTGTTGTTCATGGCTCTGCCCTTGGTCAGTACTCTATGGGTTTCGGTAAGGAAGGGTTTTCATGATACTAATATTCCAAACTCATTATCGATACCCAGGAAAATATTTGATTTTTTTTTTTTTTTTTTCTGCATCATTGTGAACAAAAGTGGCAATTAATTAAAGGCATAACAAAAAAAACTTCCTCAAAGAGTTATTGTTACTGCTTGTCTGTTTATTTCTTTCAGGCAGTTGTCATAGTTTTACCATGCCTGTTGCTGATAGTACTGTAAACTAGATTTCCTTTGTTAAACAATGGCATTAACTGATTTGGTCTGTCAGGAAGTGTACGAGCGGGTGCAGAGACTCCAGCAGGCCACTCCATGCATCTGGTGGAAGGCCATCAGCTATCACTACGTCAGGAGGACCAGACAGGTGACCAGATACCGCAATGGAGATGCATACACAACCACACAGGTGAGGGCACTCTCTCTTTCCTCGTTGCTCTTCTGTCTAAAAGACAAATTTAAATCTGAAAATATGCACACACAAAAAATCTAAATTGCATTTCTCCTCTGATTATGTTTCAATGAAATAGTGTCACTCAGCTGTCAGGAGGTGAGACAGCATTTAGTGGGAGAAGCAGTATCTGCCACATCTCATTAGGGCTGAAATGACTTATCTGATAAATAGTGATTAATTGATTATTGAAGTAATCTCCAACTAATTTAGCAAAACATCGTTAACTGGGGTATAAAGACTCTAAAACCTGTCATCAGCAGTAATTAAAATGAAACATTAATGAAGATAATGAAGATGCCTGTAAATGTGCTCTGTCCAGAACTAAAGTAGATTGATTTTAGTTTCACTTGGCTCAAACTTTTAAAAAGTTTATAAAGCAGATTCTGCAACCCGATTACTGACAGATTAATTAGAAAAAAAGCATACAGATTTGTCATTTGGCACATTAATTAAGCACAATCAGCCACTAGAGTTGCTCTGGCAATCTGCGTAAATCCTACCCCCAAACACCAGTCGTCATTTAGATGTTGGTTTTTGGTTAAATCTGGTCCAGAAATTGTTGTTGGACTAAAGTGGGACAAATTCAGACCGACCTAACACGGCCATATTTTCAACAGCTATTTCTGGACTTCAAGACTATGACAGACCGACAAGATTTAGCCTAAAAACCAATGTCTAAATGACGTCTGGTGTTTGGCGGATAAGTAGTGTTTCTCCCTTCGCCAGGTTCTACTGTCTCCATGGTAACCACTTTCTGTACAGGTCAATAGCTAATAAAGAAGGTTTTGAGTGTTGTGAAGAACAGATCTAGGACACAGGACTTACAGGTCAGCTACCACCACTGATGCTCTATTAGCAGAATCTCCTAGCCGATCAGAGCATCAATAAGCACCAGGTGCTGTATATTGACCTAAAAAATAATTTAACGCATCTTAAATAAAGCTTTGGTCAAAACGGACATAGTGTTAGCCTAGTAAACTAGCCCCATTCGCCAGCGTTCAAAATCCTTTCTGCCTGCGAGTTGGTTTAGCCTCGATCAATGCCCCAGGCCCTAAATTTGGCGGGCCAATCACAACACAGAGCTGTGTTTTGAATGTCTGGATGCAAAGCGCGCGGGGTTTTTAGGCTGTGACGACAAAGCTGCACAACACAGTAGCATGCACTACAGCAGCAGCAGCAGCTTTCAATGGAGCACTCCATTGAAAGTTAAAAGTTCTCTTTTCTGTTGCTGTTGTTCAATAAAAGTAAGTTTTAAGATAATTTGAGGCCAGAATATTATACTTGATGGTGTCACTATATGGTCCATTTACCGATTTAATGCGTAAAGAGAAGAAACTATTTCCGAAGTTGAGAGGACCGTGGCAAGCAGTGGAGCTCCAAAGCTAACGGCAGCCAGGGCTTACCGCAGCTGGCTATAATGGGGATTTTTCACTCAGCTTTGGAATCAGTTTTGGAAGGATTAGACTTAGGGTTTTCGTTGAAACGTGAGCAGGAAGAGGCTTTACGCTCATTCATTTTTGAGAATGACGTATTTGCCTTTTTACCGACAGGCTGTTTGTTTACACTCCTCCATTAGCTTTCTGTCGTGCTTCCTATGTCACAGTCAGTTGCGCTTGTTGGTCAAAGCGTTGGCCAATAGGCACAAACATGGTTTGAAGAACAACGGGTTGTTCTCATCAACAATCTTCCGATGAATTCATCGGTGCCAAACTAAATTACACATTTAATCTCCCATTTAGTCTGGTTAACAAGGCTAACATAGTGTTGCTTTTAAAAAAAATAAAAAGGTTAATAGAAATCACTATTTAGCACAAAATTCTAGCTCATTCTGCTCAAATACAATTTGCTTTTACTGAAAGAAGTTGAGGAAGCAAATAGGGGATCCCCTTTTTTTCTTTTTTTGAATTTTAAATGATAAAATGAATAAAGAAAAACACAATGGAAAAGCAGTTCTTTCTTAACTTTGACTTTTACCTCTCATTTTTAGGTCTATCATGAGCGAGTTAACACTCACGCCTCCAGTTCAGAGTTTGACTACGCCCGCTATGGCGTCAAAGATGTGTCAAAAGAGCTGTTGGACCTGGAGCAGCACCCTGCGGTTCGCCTCCGCTTCACTAAATGTTTCAGGTACCACAGAATTTTTAGATACTAACAAATCAGCTCCGTTGTTGTTCAAATTTGAAATTAGTTCTTTAATTAAACTGCGCTTCTCTTGATTTTTGTTGTAATGCATAAACTTTCTGTTCTTTAGCTTTTCCAGTGCTCGCGCTGAAGCTGCTTACCTCACTCAGGTAAGCAGAACCAGACTGGCATGCATGTTAAAAAAAATACTCTCCTTTTGACTTAGTTATGTTGGTCTATAACATCTCAACCTAAAATATTTTGTGCTTTTAAATTCATGTTAACGTTGAACGCTTGTAACTCGCTGCATTTATTTCTTACGCAACTGGATATCACATATGTGACCCACAAATGCACAGGACAAGATCCACAGATGCACATCCACACATGCACAGGACAAGATCCACACATGCACATGCACATCCACACATGCACAGGACAAAATACCCACATGCACAGGACTAGATCCACACATACACAGGACAAAATCCATACAATGCACATGACTAGATCCACACATGCACAGGACAAAATCCACACATACACATGACCAGATCCACACATTCACAGGACAAGATCCACACATGCACATGACGAGATCCACACTTGCACAGGACTGGATCCACACATGCACAGGATTAGATCCACACATGCACAGGACTAGATCCACACATGCACAGGACTAGATCCACACTTGCACAGGACTGGATCCACACATGCACAGGACTAGATCCACACATGCACAGGACTAAGTCCACTTATGCACAGGACTAGATCCACACATGCACAGGACTACCTCCACTTATGCACAGGACTAGATCCAGACATAGTAGTTTATAAATTAAGATATAATTTTCTATGCATCACAAATACTTTCGTGAATCTTGTGAATATGTAAATGTTATGTGCTTGTTTTAATCCTTATGCATGTGTTGATTGTGCTGTGCATATATGGATCACAAATGTGAGTTTATAAATATTGCTCCATTACTGTAAGATTTAGTTTGTTTTTTAATTTAGTAGGATAACTTATAACTACTTTATGTTACTATATGAAACTTTGGAGACTGTCATCGTAATTCATAAAGCAGTGTAGGATATTTATGTGATTAAAAACTCAGATTTTCTAACCAACATTATTTTTTTTTTCATTTCCCTTTGATTCCAAGCGAGCACGGTTCTTCGGTGAAAATGAGGGGCTCGATGACTATATGGAGGCCCGGGAGGGGATGCATCTAAAAAACGTGGATTTCAGAGAGCACATCCTAGCTTTCCCAGATCCTGCTCATCAGCCTTGGTTTTCAAGGCACCGGGTGTTCTGGCTGGCTTCAGCTTTCCTCCTCTCATGGCCACTTCGCGTCGTTTCGGAATACCGCACAGCATATGTGCACTACCATGTGGAGAAACTGTTCGGTGAGGATGAGGACAGCGGTGGAGGTGGGGGAGTTGTTGGTGGAGGGCAGGGTGGAGGAGGAAGAGGGGACACAGTGGAAGGAGCGACTGAGAATGGAATCCATCCAGGAGGACTTGGGATTGGACTGAATGGGACAAGCTACCGAGCTATCTCTCGTGTCAACACAGTGGACATGACAGAGCTGGAGTGGCACATCCGTTGTAACCAACAAATGGTTCCAAGCTACTCTGAGGCTCTTCTTATGGATTTGGACTCCAGTGGAAGCACAAATCCCACAGCCTCAACGCCCATCTCTGGACCTCCGGGGATCACTCCCACCCAGGGGCCTCATCAGCCACCTCTGGCTCTGCCTGTGCTGTTCAACTCTGCTTACCTGCTGCAGAGCTGCCCCAGATGCAGGAGAACCACATCGAGCTCCAGTCTTCCCTCCCGGTTAAGGGCTCCAATGGGAACCACGGCCCTCCTGAACGCTACTGTGGCTGGGATCCGTGCAGCAGGGCCGGGAAGTGGAGGGGTAGGAGGAAGACTGGTGCTCAGCCGCAGCGGATTCTCTTTGGGCAGACTGGGAGGTGGGCGACAGAACAGCTTGTTTCACTCAAGAAGCATTGGAGGAGGACTGGCAGGCAGCAGGGAAGACGGAGGAGGGAGTGGGGGTGGAGGAGGCAGTGGGGCTGGAGGTGGAGGGTCTGGGGGATTTTTAGGAATAGGCTCTAGACAGAACAATGAAGAGACCAGGGGGGTCCTCGAAGGAGAGGAGGAGGAGGAAGAAGAAGAGGTGAGAAGAAGGGAAAGCGGGGGAAGAGAGAGAGACGAGGAGGCAGAGCAGGGAGGAGGGGGTGGAGGAGAGGGCAGGGAGGGTGACAGGGATCGACCTCCTTCCTACCAGGACGCTTTCTTCTTTCCTGTCCTTATAATACATGGAGAGGAGAGCTGCCACGCCGGAGATGACATGCGAGACTGAGAAGAAAATGAGCGGTTCGAGCAGGAGCTGAAAGAAGACACTGAGCACACAGGAAGGAGTATTATCCAACAACAAAGACAGATACTGAGAATAAGAGTGAGGTTAAAAAGACAAGATAGGGCGAAAAATTAGAGGGGGAATGGACACACACAGTGCATTCTGTCAGCCATCAGTAAACCCATAAGTTCGGATTAGAGTCGATGCAGAGTGCAGACACATGATAAAATCAAGTGCAACTAAATCCTTGAAATAGCATGCTTTAGTGAAAGAAGGTAATAGTGACAGAGAGCTTAGAAATGTGTGTTTCCAGATATATCTATGCAGCAGCTGGAGTGGGAGGGCTAAACGCTCTAAAGATAGCCACTTTAAGAGCAGTTAAAACACAATAGAGTATAATCTCTTTTGAAAGATTTTGTTAGAAGAATTGGGAATGTATCTCTGAGGGGCTGAAACTATTGGTTAAACAATCATTTAGATACAATTAGATAGCAAAATGCATTGGGAAAATGAGTAGATAGAAAAATGCATGGCAAATTAATAAATTCTTACTATTTTAAAGCTATAAACCAGCATATTCCAGTTCAAATGTTCAGTCAAATCCCTTTTTATGACTATGAGCAGCACCTGACCAGCTCCTCTTACAGTAATGAATGCCAATGAAAGACAATATACATTAATTTCCTCATGTCTCGGCATGCTGTCTTACTTGACCATTAGCTTCCTGACCACTCAGTGCATTACTGCTTTGGAGGAGGGCGGTTTAAAGATCCATAAAATGCGGAGCAGTCGTTGCCTATTTGAATCAACCCCCTATTTCCTCTAGCCACCTTTTACACTTCTGTGATGCTTTTACTCTCTCATTCACCCCTAAAAAACAAAAACTGCTAAGAGATAAGTTTAGTTTACTTAAAAGGAATATGTCAAAATTTACATTTCTAATTTTACACCATTTTTATGTTGTGTTCAAGCTAGTAGCTAAATGCAGCTGGAAGTTTCTGAACACGTATAATGTCACGTTAGGATACCTAGCAGAATGGAACCCTACCCAGGGAATTAAAAGCCCTTTCTGGTAAACTCCAGCCTCACTAATTACTCGTCATTTATCACTGTAATTATATAATGGAAAAGATGGGCCATATATTGTTTGTGTTTTTATTTTGTTCTGGCAGTATTCGGGTAGATTGGAAAGTGTTCCCAAAAAGTTAAAAAAGTCAAAAAAAACAAACCACTGGACTTTGTTTCCAAGTTTGAAGACGTTTCGCTTTCCATCCAGGAAGCTAATGGTCTGAAGTAGCATAGAATTCCAAGCTTTATAGAGCAGCCCAACAAAGCCTTGTTATGGCTTAGAAAACATGCAAAATTAACCAAACGGACAGGTCCACCCTTTAGTAATGGGGAGTCGTTGATGTCTTTGTTAGCCTGCAAAACCCGATACTGGCCTATGCCTTTGAAAAGGGCTTAGTTAGGGTTTGCATGGCTGCCAGGCGAGATGTTTTGGTCCCCTGCATGGCGATGAGGATTGAGATGATAGCACAAAGAAATCAACTCTATCGCTGCGTTGGCGGCTTTTAAGAGCTGAAACCTTTTAACAGCTGAGTCCACCCCCTCTGTTTAAGGATGTTTTTTTCTTTCTTAACATAAATGGCATTCTTCACACCCCTTTCAAAGCACCCGTTTTCTCTGTCCAAAATTTGAACAGTCTGCTCCTCAAAAGTGTCCTTTGTCCATAAGGTGTAGATGGACAGCCGAGTCCTGTCCGGAGAAGGTATCCTGTCTGTGTTAAGCCATGCGTCTGTGGAGAGGTTCGGTTTCTCCAATATCACAAACAAAGACCCTAACGACTCTCTTTTCAGAGGCATAGGCCTGTATCGGGTTTTACCCCTTGCTCACACTGGCTCCGGTGCAGTTACCGAGCCCACGGAGACCGCAACTCCCGCACACCCCCTCTCACACCGCCCTTTTGACTACGGTGCGGTCAAACTTGGGAAACAAAGTCTATTGGTTTGTTTTTAAACTTTTCTTTTAATGGGTATGACCTGGATTACCGAGAATCTTCATCAGCTTATTGAAAAGTGTTACTCCAGTTCTGCCCAGTTTAAAATATGGGGCAGTAAATGGAAGAATCTGTAATCTTTAAACCTGTGATTGTTGCACTTCACTATCAGTCAAAACTGCATTGGCACCATTCAAAAGCCATGACTTATTTTACTGTTTGTATTAATACAATTTGTAGTTCTTGCCATAAAATACCACTTTAAACTAACGTTGCATAGGTTTTAGTAAGAGGGTAAATTGTAAAACAGTCTTTAACCCTTTTGGCACTGAGGAGAGAACAAGTAATTGCAGTAATTATCAAATTGTAAGGCAGGAGGGATGTTTAATCTTCATAGCCTGGTTTGCATATATTGAAAGAAGATACATGAATAATAATTTAAAAGAACACTATATAGAGTTTTCTTGCTTGATGCTGCTATCACACAATCACCTTGGGTGATCAGACTGCTGACTTCCTTACAGCTATCTGTTATAGCAAAGACAAACAGTGTGGTTCTCATTATCCGCTTCCTTACATAAAGTAAGGTTTTTATTCCATCCAAACAGTCTGCTCTCTGTATCACGGTGGACAGCCACATTATTTTTGCTCCTGACAGCATATTAATATCCCAGATATGAACACGACATAACTGTTTTTAAAAAAAGTGGGCTGATTTTTATCAGAAATGTATGTTTTAGTCACCCACCTGCCTTAAAAACCAATAGAAAACCTGATTGTAATTTCTTTATTTTATTATTAGCCATTTCCACATAAACTAATTAAATGCAGCTTTTAAGGCTCTTTGTGCTTCAAGCAGAAAAACATATTTTCGGTCTCTCTGTTGTTATACCTTCTTTTATTTTTCTCCTTTTTTATATTTTTAAAAATAGATCAGAGCTGCTGAGATTAGATGTCATCTCCACTTATTCCACATGTTCAATTTCCCAAATGTTCATATTAAATGAAATTCACATTTCCTCCTTTTTTTACTTTTGTACATTTAACAAAATAATAATTATGGATTGTTTAAAAAAAATGAAAGTAAGTGATTATGCTAAAAACATCCAGAGAAATTTCCCTCTTGTTAGCTTGTTGTATATTTAGCCTTTCAATTTCTCTACCTACGACATGCTGAACTCCATGGGAAGCCGAGGTTAAACTTGCATTCTTAATTTTTAAAAAAAGAATACAGTACATGGATAAAAAATAAATAAATAAAGAATAACCCCTGAAGTTTTATACTGATCATTTTCAGCTCTGTAGGAAAATGCTTTGGTTAGATTAAACCAAGCTGCTACCTCCTCCTACTTCTGGAGAAGCATCTTTTCTGACTATTTCCTTATAGTGAAATGTGGAAAGACTTTGCAGGCATAGAAATGCATGGAAACACACACTACCAGTAAGGTAGCATATTATAGCAAAAATCAGCAAAGATATCCAGCAGTAGTACTCCAGTGGGATTCAGCACCAATACAAGGACGCAGACAGGAATCCTGAGGGATTCGGTGATATGTCCTATTTTCTGAGTTTGTTTCCTACACTGGAAAAACGATCTAGAAATAAAAACAAAAACATTTCTTAAATAAAGTGTATTTACCTTAGTAGGTAAATGAGATAGTTTTCCAATAGAATGAGCGTTTTTGAATCTTAAAATAAGATAATTAGATAATATGCACTTGAAATAAGACAATGCAATTGTGTTTTCTTATTTTAAGTGTTAATTGTCTTGTTCCATTGGTTAAATGTCTCTTTTACCTCCTTAATCAAGAACAAATGCATCTATTTTAAGAAAAAATGGCTTATCTAGATTTCGATTTTTTTTCCCAGCGTGGAATATGAACCTAGGAAAGGCCGTCAGCACATACCCCTCTGCCATCTGTGCTTTATTTGTATTTATTTTATAAAGCACACTAAACCTGCTAAAGTAGCAACAATTAGTTAGGTAAGCTTTTCCTCACCATTCCTGCTGCCTCTGCTTACTTTTTACACATTCCTGGAAAGCACATTGAAAACAAGCTGTGCTTTCATGTGAGGAGGACAAACAATGGAGGATATTATAAAATCTAACCTCTAAAGTTAGAGAGAAATTATCTCTTAGTGCAACTTTCTGGAAAAGTGGAGCGGAGACCACTGGCCTGGTTAGATGTAGGGGACACATCCTGACACACTTTCTCATCCGCTGAATCTGGTTCATGGATCTTCTGTAGCTTTTTTGAAAAAAAAAAAAAAAAAAACTGAAGTGAGCGAATGAAGGGATGTTGAACTTGAGGAGAGTGACTGAAATCTAATGGCAACAAGGACAAGACTTTTCTAAGCCTCTAAAGAGCTGGAGAAGACTGAAAATGTGACATTAAAGGAAGTTATTTTTTACATTATTCACTACTTCATTTTTTGGACTTTTGAGTCTATAATAAAGAGAAAGAACCCCTATGAAAGCACTCAACCCTCCTGCATTAATTTGTTTGGGCAATCATGTTGCTTTCACTGCTTTTGTTCACATGCAGCTGAAACCTATAAATGTAATGTACTCTTAATGCAGGAAAACATTTCCATCTGTAAATTGCTGCTCTGCATCATCCTCATATTTCGGTGATATATCAGGTCGTTGAAGTAAAACACAAATGCCTTTGTACATTTTTTTTTGTAAAAATTACTGTTACAATCCACTTCTACTTGCTGATATGTCTTAATAATTATTTGTTCATTTATGTATGTTTAGACATGTGTCTAACATTTCTTGCTGAACAATTGATCGTGGTGTTGCTCCAGATGTGCCAAGAGAATTCTTAGCCCATGATGTCTTACACGAAACATACGCACCATCATTGCCTGTTTGCATGCTTAATCACTGCAGTAAAATAGCTAACGTGTCAGCCTTTTATTTTTATTGAATGGATTCATGGCCTTTAACATGTAATCGCCCCCACAGACACCCGTAAAGCATGGCATTGTGCTGATGAGGTTACCTTTATTTCCTAGGTTGCCAAAATGTTTTGCTCAGGTTTTTCAGTTAATGCTGCATTTCTGCGTGCTCTTCTATGAAATTATCAACACGCCAAA